CCTTGCTAAGGGAGAGATAAAAGAAGTGATTCCAGAAGACCAGAGGTGGACAAGGCCTCCTTTTGAGATCCTTTTTGCCCAATCCTCATGCTGAGCAATTTGTCCTCCTCTTTGCCTTTGAACCAGCGCTATCTCAAGCTACAGCCCAATGAGTGTTGTATTTATAGCTGTAATAATCGGAAACAAGTGGCCTGACCAGAACCATTGCATGCAGAACCAATACCTTTACCACGTACAACATCTCTTGACTTCCTGGATTTTACCCAATATTTCAAGCTAATGAGCAATCCCACAAACATGTACAGTGCAACTAACCTGCAAAGTGTTTATGACCAATTTACGTAGCACTGGTGGAGTATCCTTCATCCATCCTTCTATCCACGCCAAAAAATCGCCCCCCACACAATGAGCTCATATAGACATTTATGCAGCACCTTGGCAAATGTCTTCTAAAAATCCAAGTACATTGTGTGTACAGGCTCCCCTATATTCACATGCATGTTGCTCTATCAAGAACTCCAATAAATTAGTTAAACATGCTTCCCCTCACAGGGAACCATGCTGACTCTTCCTGATCACTGGTGCTCAGCTATAACTTCCTTAATGATTCTAACACCTTTCTAACAATTCTAATATCTTGCCAGCTAACTGGCCTATAGGTTCTTGTTTTCTGCTGTGTCATTTCTTGAATAGAGAATATTTGCTATTTTACAGTCGATTAAAAGCTTCCAGTGTCGAGTGAATTTCATAAAAATTAACATTAACACACTTACTAACTCATTAACCACCTCTTTTTAAGGCCTGAGGATGAACTCCGTCAGCACCTGGGACTTGTCACTTCCATCAGATTGCCCAACGCTGCTTCCCTGGTGATTGTAATTTCACCAAATTTCTTCTCAACCTTTCTTCTTTGACTAACAGCTATTATTGAATTTTTGAAATCCTCTACACTGAAGACAGAAGCAAAACATTTGTTTATCTCATCTATCATTTCCTTTATTACCTACTATTAACACCCCATTCTTAATCTATAATTCTGTGAAAAGGTTCAACAGCTATTTAATGTAGAAGACGGACATTCAACCCATCATGTTGGCTTTTGTTCTTGAATGATCATCATGACTTGGTGCCATTTTTCTGCACTTTTCCTCCCATCCTGTACATTAGTTCTGTTTAAATAATTATCTAATGCCTTCTTGAATGTCTCGAATGACCTTTCTTCCACCACATTTCCAGGCACAACTATAGAGGAGCAGGAGGAGGCCATTCAGCCTTCGAGCCTGCTCTGTCATTCATCACAATCATGGCTAATCATCCAATTCAGTAGCCTAATCCTGCTTTCTCCCCATAACCTTTGATCCCACAGTACTCTAGCTGAGGTCTAGTGTCTTGCACAGCTTCAGCATAATGTCCCAGCTTTTGTACTCAATGCCACTATTAGTAAAGCCCAGAATACGGATTGCTTTACTAGCTACTCTGCACCTGTCCTACCACCTTTAATAACTTATGTCCATTTACTCTCTGGTTTCTCCTAGCCCTGCACACACTTTAGACTTGTATATTTTAATTTATACTCTCTCCATATTTTTTCTGTTTGAATGTCTCACCTCAAGTCTCCAAATTAAATGTCACCTCTTTGTCCATTCCACCAACTCGGCAAAGTCTTTTTGAAATTTTATATTGTGCTTCACACAGTTTACAATACTAACTATCCCTAATTAACCCACATTTGACCATGTGCCTTTTCTAAACTAAATATTTGTTTCTTGAAACTTCACCATTGCCAGTGTTAAACTGACTGGTTTGTAACTGCTGGGCTTATATTGACAGTCTTGTTTAGACCAAGGACATAATATTTGCAATTTTCTCATCCTCTAGCACCAACACCAGAGTCCAAGAGCACTGCAAGATTATGGCTCAGCTGAAAATCCTGTTCACTTTACAATATCTTGGATGCATGTCAGCTGGTCCAGGTGCCTCGTCAACTCTTAAGTACCGACAACTTAACCAGGACCACTTCATTTTAAAGTTTGAATCTTTCTAGTGACTGAGTTTCCTCCTCTGCCATCATGGCTGGAAAACATCTTGGTTGGTTGGTGAGAACTTTAGCCATGCCCCTATGTTCATGTGTAAATCACCTTTTTGATCCCTAATTGGCCATATTCCACCTTTTCCATTTGTGTGCCTATAGAAGACTTTGGGATTTCCTCTTTGTTAGCTGTTGTTTGTACATTGCTAGTTAGCTTCATCTCATACTCTGTAATCTCTCTGCTAGGATTAATCTTGTGGTTCTTCTCTGCCGTTAATTATATTCTGAATCAGCTTATCTATTAATCATCTGTGTCCAATTATAATGTCTTTATCTTAAGTTTGACGCTTTACTTAATTTCTTTAGTTAACCACAGGTGGTGGGTCCTCCCTTTCTTCGACTTTTCCTTTTATGGTAGATATATACTTATTCTGAATATCCTGAAATATCCCTTTAAAATGCCTGCCACTGCTTTGCTATTGACCTGTCCTCTGGCCTAGAATGCCACTTCACTTCAGCTAGCCCAGCTTTCATGCCCACACAGCTGACCTTCTTTAAGCATAATATACTGCAATTGAGGCATTGAAGAGGGCATTAGATTATTATTTAAATAGAAGTAATGTGCGTGGTTAAAGGTGGGGTAATGGCATTGATTCCTCATTTGGAGAGCCAATGCAGATGTGATGGCCTGAATGACCATATTCTACATGTAACGATTCTGTGACATTGGTCTTGGATGCATTCTAACAGGATGTAAAACTCAATCATATTGTGGTCTCTGCAACATAGAGTTTCCTTTACTCGAAAGTTGTTAATTAATCATGTCACCATTGGCTGTAGAATGTGCTGCTAAGAAACATTCTATGAACTCCTCGTTTGATATACCATTGTCAATTTGATTTTTCAAGTTATAAAGTAGATTTCAATCATTCATGATTATTGCTATCCCTTTATCACAAGCAACCATATTCCTTCTTGGATATTTTTTGACAGATATTGTGATTGCTGTTATGGGGCTTGTAGTCCAACTCATGAGTGATTTCTTTCCACCACTACTAATTGGCTCCATCCAAACAGATTCCACACCTTATCTCCTGAACCAATGTAATCTCTGACTATTGCACCAACGTTTTCATTAAACAACAGTGCTGCCGTTCTACCGAGTTTCCTATTCTTCTTGAATGACGTACCTCAATACCCAGGATTCAATCTGTGTCATTGTGCAGTGGCTGTCAGGTCATATTTATGTATCTCAGTGTGCACTGTCAATTTGTTTACTTTGAAGAATGCTATCCACATTCAAGTACAGTCTTTAGTTGTGTATTTTTGTTATATCTTGTCATGACTGTTGGTGTTTTCTTAGATTTATGCCCTCAGACCCTTCCATTTTCTGACCTTCATTTCCCATTTTAATTTCCCTATTTTGCTGTCCTGCCTTGATTTGCTACATCAACCCAAACTTGATCCCTCACCATTATCCAGTTTAAAGCTAGTTCGACTTTCCTAGTCATAGTCTGCTAGAATGGTCCCAGCACAGTTCAGGTACAGGTTTTCCCCAGGGACACAGCCCTACTTTTCCACTGATGCCAGTACTCTATGAACTGGAATCCATTTCTTCCACTCCAATCTTCATTTCACTACTCATGAGATCTATGCCAATCGGCACATGGCTCAGCTAACAATCCAATATTATGATACACTGCAAAGTGTATTGAAAAGGTAAATTGCACTTGAGAGGCAAGGAGTGGTAGTCTGGAATATTGTTGCACTTACTTAAGGACATGACAGTCTTTTAATTTTTTTACTCTGCCAAAGCACTCCCATCTCTACTAATCAACTGATCAATTAGTCCTTAAGAGGTTAATTAGCAACTCACTTAAAGGGCCTGTGTGGACTTTCACTCAGCCTGCAGAGTCGGAGGTGCACCTTGATGTGCCCCAATCTGGGCATGATCGGGTGAGGGAGCAGAGGGTGGCTTCTGACAGCCATTCTCTGGCCTTGCCTCTGAACACATCTTGCCAAAACACAGACCCTGTAATTTTCTTCCAACCTTGAAAAGTAACTGAATTTGCCCACTGTTATAGGATTTCTGGGTTGCTATCCAGCCAGCACCCTCGGCCTCTGAAGTAGCACTGCTGCTTGCAGTGGCTAGTGGCCCATAGTTTGCTGGCAACTTCAGGCGACATGGATCTCATTCTTGTTCCAGGAAGTTATGTGTCTGTGAAATCCCCACTAGATGATTATGTAAGTACCTGTTCGCCTGACGGATCATCATGGGCGTTTCTTACTGGTGATAGGATGTTCCATGCACACTGATATCTGCATGCAAACTTTAACTCAAAAATAGAAAATGCTGGCTATTGTTTGTAATAACTCATATAAGGCACTTCATAAAAGAACCAGAGGTGATTTGAGGAGCAATTTTGAGCTGCACAAATGGTTAAATTTGAAATATACTGCCTGATATGGTGGTGGCAGTGGTTACAGATTCAAGAGTAGATCTAAAAAAGAAAATTTGATAAATTGGATCTGAAAGGAGAAAGGAAACAGGGAAATGGTAAAAAAGAATGAGATCGGGGCTATCTGGATTGTTTTTCGAAAGAGGTAGTACAGACTGAATGGGCTATGTGCCTCCTGAGCTGCATTATTTTATGATTCTATCTTTTTTTTTCAAGCTGTCTGCAAAACATGTAACAATTAAGGAGAATTGACAGAACAGTTAGTTCTTTTATGAGTCATTAGTTTGAAGTATGTGATACTGTAGGCCACCTGAATTTGTTTTGTAAGATTTCCGGGTAGCTTTTCTGTGATATCAAACTTCAGATTTGTGCAACTTTTCTATCTTCGGAGTATGCATAGGCAATATCTGTAGTATGTTAAAGAAAATAATAGCAATTCAAAATAAAGATTTTTCTGATTTTTTTAGGATCTGTTTCTCTTAGTTTACTTTTACTTTTCAACTTATTTGCAGGAATGGTTTGCAGTATATGTGGAACTTAATCAGCAGATTGCAGCACTGTTGAATGCAGGGGACGAGGAGGATTTGCTTGAACTAAAAGCCCTGCAACAGCAGCTTAGTGATGTTTGCTATCGCCAGGCCAGTCAACTGGAGTTCAGACAGAATGTGCTGCAGACAGCTCTTGAATTCCATGGTATTGCTCAGGATGTAAGTGACTTGTTAATACATTACACATTTCAGGAACTGATAGCAATGAAGTAACTGTTTTCTGATCTCTTGATTTATCATGGCAAGAAATGTGATTAATTCTAATAAATATGGTGTTGTCTACCAGGCACAACAGGACAAAAATCAGCAGATTAACTGAATGTAATGGACATGACACACTACCAAATAGTAACATCAAGGACACGGTTGAACAGTTGTACTTCTAGCTGAAGTGTACATGTCTAAGTTTGAACAAAGAAAAATATAAGCTTTAAAAGAAATGCATAAATTTCCCTTTCTCTAGAATGGTGGTACTCATGATATGAGCAATCATACTACATTCTCTCTTGCCTGGGTAATTCTCCTTTGTATAGCCCTCACCTCCACTTCTTTAAGTCCAAGAGATGTAAACTTGAAAGGAATTGATGGATAACTGAATTAACCAATCAGTGGCAATGCGGCTAAACCATATGAACCTTTTTAGTGGCCTGCTGTCATCTTTTTCCAGGACCATCCTGGAATGCAAAGATAAGCCTACTTCTTCTTTTATATACAGTAAGCTGTCATCTTAAGCTGCTCTTCCTAGTTTCCTCCATCTTCACTCCAAAAATAAGTGCTAAGAGCTCATAGACTATTTGTCACTAAAATTGAGACAAACTGCTCAGCTGCCTCTGTCACGTCCCTCCTTCCCATTAGCTGATCAACCCTAAACCACCTCTGAAGTTTCACCCTGCCCTAGCCCTCAACTTGCATTGTTCCTTAGTTTCCTCAGCCCTTATTCTGACAAAAAAAAAAGCTAACCACTTAACATCTTTCCTGGTCACCCCATCTGTGAGATATCTGTGCTCATCTGATTTTGCTCTCTTTTGCATCTTTAATTTTAATTGCTCTAATATTGCTGGTTGTGCCTTCAGTTGCCAAGGTCACAGCTCTGGATTTTTTGTCTGTCCACCTTGCTGTTTCTCTTGCCTTCTTAATGCATGCCTTAAAGCCTACCTCTTCATCTAAGCCTTTGGTCATCTGATTTAATATGGCTTAGTATCGTATTTTGTCTAAAATGCTTCTGTGAAATGCTTTGGGGCATTTTATTACCTTAACAGTTCGATGTAAATGAGTTATTTGGAAAAGACTAGTCAGGTGATGAAACCACTTCAACACTATTTGAAATGCTAGTGCTTGTATTTTACATACTTGTGATAAAAATTCTGTTTTATTCTAATTCAAAAGATTTCATGTTAGAGAATCCAACAATATTTGCAGGATCATAAATAGAACTCCAAGTATTTCCAACACCATTACATTTAACTTCAAAAGGAATTCAAGCAACAGTGAAAGAGTATTTGTTCACTCATGTAACTGTTTAAATAACAGAGTTACATGGGCATGGAATTCACAGTGTTTGTGATTGTTGCCACATCAGACTCATCATTTGCTACTGCAAAATTGTAAGGTTTGGTACACCTGAAATGTCCATGTAGCAGTATCGTTACTATTTTAACATTTAATCTGTGAAGATAATCCATAGAATTTCTTAAATTTTTACAATCCATTTTATTTCAATAATTCCTTTTCTCAAGTATTAAACCGTTTCTTTCCTTCAAATAAATGGATATTGTGTGCAATTAATATCATGCATTTGTGCAGATTTGAAAAATTGAATCTTGTGAATGTATCTTTCACAGTTGTCCCAGCAGCTGGATGGATTACTTGGGATGCTTTGTGCTGACGTGGCACCAGCTGATGGAACTGCTATTCAACAAACGTTAAAACTTCTAGAAGAGAAGCTAAAGAGTGTTGGTAAGTGGGAGAAATATGTATCGTTGTATATGTAAATAAATAATGATATCCTGAATTTCCAGCAGATCAATATTGATCACTGCAGCATTAAATTCTAAGAAGAGTCTGCCGAACCCTTTTTAGTTTTGTGTTTACAACAATCAATATAATAAAGGTATGAGATGAGGAAAAAAAAAGATTGTTATGAGCTGTAACTGGAATTTCAGGTAGAAAATGTTATCCAAACCTGAAGATGTTTTTATAACCTTTAAGCATGTTCCATTACTGAAAATGTATATGAGACATAGTTTGATTTTTGAAAATCACATTTTCACTTGAACGTAAATAGTAGGAAGATAGGAGGAAGGTAAGAAATGGTGAGAAGGTGGATATCAAGTTATGAAATGTTTGAAATTGAGATTAAGCAAATTCTTAACTGAAGTGATGTATCACATGTCTAACACCAGGCTACATTTAAATTTATGTTTGTAAATTATACTGCTTATCTCAACATTCCATCTGCATAAACATAAAACAGTAGTGCAGTGAAAATCTTTCTATGAAACAGTTCTTAAACTACTTTTTGGTAGAAAATTAGGTACAAAATATTTACTTCAGTTTATTCCTTCCATTTGCAATGGTTGTTTAATCTTTACTTGTGGTTAATGCTGAGTTGGTGATGTTTACTAATTGAAAAGATTATGAACGCATGAAGAAGTTGTCATACAAAATTAGCACTTAAATTTCATCTTTTCTCACTTAATCACTGTTACATTGGTATTTAAATTAAAATTGTGGGTTTTTATTCAAATTATGAAGGAAACTTACATGATTTTTGATTATGTTACAGTTTTAACAAATATGTGAGGAATATCCATCACAATAAGTTGAACAAAGGGTTTTAAATAATATTTTGCACTTTAGATGTATCAATATTGTATGACTCAGAATAATTTATAAGGTGAACCTATCTCAATGTTACATTCAGTGGGGAATTTTTGCTATGCATTCGTTTTTTTTAAAGTTTCCATTCAAGAGTGAACTAACCAAAATTCTCATTACATTTTATATTGGAATCCAAAGATTTGAATGAAGTTGCAAGTGTCTGGGAGCATTAGGGAAATGAGATTTAGAATCCAGGTGACATGAGGAAGGATAACAGGAGTTTCAGGAAAATATCACATAACTTACTTCTCTCTGACTTTTACCCATTTACAGCTGTGAGTTATTTCAGTTCCCCATTCCCTACTGTGAACATATGTGGAAGGAAAGCATGGATAATGAAACAAAGATGGAAACCTCTGAAGGGGTGAAGAAAAGCTTTGCTCGTTGTGTATTGAATAAAGGAATTAGAGAGATCAGGAAGTTTAGGAAAGGGCCTTAGTTGGTTGAAAGCATGGCTGCCAAGGGTAGGTGAAAGAGAGAGGTGGATGCATAATAGACCAGAGCAGCTACAATATTCAAAAAAGGTGGCTTAGAAAATGGACAGGCCATGGAAGGATATAAACATGAAGTTGATGCTTTTATTTTAAGATGTTGAAGCTTAGGTGGCACTATAGGATAGTGAGGACAACGGAAGTATGTGAGGCGATCTAGGTACTAGATAGGATATGGACAATAGAATTTGGATGTGCTGCAGAATGGAAACTAGTCAGCTGAGTACTGGTTTAGTTGAGTTTGATATTATCACAGGGTAAATGAGAGTTTCAGCAGCAACAGATGGTTGAGATGTGGCGGCGAAGTCCCTGTTATGTAGGCAAGAATGGGAGTCTTTGTGAATGAGAGGTTAAGTGATCAGGAATAAAAACAGAAAATGCTGGAGAAACTCAGCAGGTCTGGCAGCATCTGTGGAGAGAAAGCAGAGTTAATGTTTCGGCTGCACTGATCCTTCTTCAGAACTGATAGCTAGGAAGATATGCTGAAGACAAGGGGAGGGGTAGGAGTGAGTGGTTAGTTGGAGATGGATCCCAGAGAGAAAGTGAGAGAGAGACAGTTATGCAGACAAAGAGATTATAGAATCCTGACAGTGTGGAAATAGGCCATTTGGCCCAACAAGTCCACACCAACTCTCTGAGGAGCATCCCACCCAGACTTTTCCCCTACCCAGTCCCTGAAACCCCCATGGTTAATCCACCTAACCTACACATCCCTGGACACCTATGGGCAATTTAGCATGGCCAATCCACCTAACCTGCACATTTTTTGGACAGTGGGAGAAACCCATGCAGATATGTGGAGAATGTGCAAACTCCACATAGACACTTGCCCAAGGGTAGAATTGAACTGGATCCCTGGCGCACTGAGGCAGCAGAGCTAAAGACTGAGTCACAATGCTACCCATGCCGGAGATGGATAATAGTAAGACTGGGAGAAGGTAAAGCTGATAATGGGGACCAAAAGTAGGTGAAAATATACTGGCTGTGCTGAAAGTAGTGGGACTGAGTAAAGGACATAGAAACCCCTGAACACTTTCCTGTAAAGTTTTTGAACTTGATATTGAGTTTTTTTAATTCATTCACGGGATGAGGACGTTGCTGGCTAGGCAGCAATTATTACCCATCCCCAATTGCCCAGTGGGCAGTTAAGAGTCAACCACATTGTTACAGGTCTGGAGTCATATGTAGTCCAGACCAGGTAAGGGTGGCAGTTTCCTTCTCTAAAGGAATTAGTGAACGAGATAGATTTTTCTGACAATTGACAATGGATTCACAGTCATCATTAGATTCTTAATTTCAGATATTTATTGAATTGAAGTGCCACCATCTGCCGTGGCGGGATTCAAACCTGGGTTCCCAGAACATTATCTGGGTCTCTGGATTAACAATCCAGCAATAATACCACTAGGCCATCACTTTCCCGAGTCCCGTAGGTTGCACAGTCCCGAAGCGGAAAATGAAATGCTGTTCTTCCAGCTTACTCTGAGCCTTGCTGGAGCATTGTAGCAGGCCTGAGATGGAAATATTGGCATGGATACACAGTGGTCTGTTGGAAAGAAGAAAACTGCAAGCTCAGGGTCATTGTTGCAGACATAATATGGGTATTCGGCAAAGTGGTCTCTCAGTCTGCATTCCAACTCCTCATTGTAGAGGAGACCACATTGTGAGCAGCGAATACATTAGACTGAGTGAAGTGCAGGTAAATCGCTGCTTCACCTGGAAGGTGTTTCTGGTGCCTTGGATAGTGACGAAGATTGAAGTAAACAGGCAGATGTTAGACCTCCTGCAATTGCAAAGATGCAGTGGGGTTGTGGGGGAGTGTTGGAAATGTAGGAGTAATGAGCCAAGGTGTCCAGGAAGGAGTAGTCTCTGCAGAAGGCTGACAAGGGAAGGGAAGAGAGGGAATGGGAAGATGTGTCTAGTGGAGGCAACCTGCTGGAGGTGATGGAAATAGCAGTTTATAATCTTTTGGGTGTGGATGCAGATGCTGATGGGGTGGAAAGTGAGGACTGGAGGGACCCTATCAGTATATTGGGAGGGAAGAGAAGGGGTAAAGGTATGGGGAATGGGGTTGACATGCCTGAGGGTCCTGTCAATCACAGTGGTGGGGGAATCCTTGCTTTCTCTCCAAGGAAAAAGATGGACATAGAATCCTTACAGTGTGGAAACAGGCCGTTCGGCCCAAGAAGTCCACACTGACCCTTGGAGCACCCCATCCAGACCCATCCCCCTATAACCCTCACACCCCTGAACACTACGGGCAATTTAGCATGGCCAATTCACCTAGCCTGCACATCTTTGGACTGTGGGAGGAAACTGGAGCACCCAGAGGAAACCCACGCAGACACGGGGAGAATGTGCAAACTCCGCACAGACAGTCACCCGAGGCTGGAATCGAACCCGGGTCCCTGGCACTGTGAGGCTGCAGTGCTAACCACTGAGCCACCGTGCCGCCCAAACATATCTGAAGTTCCCCTGCGGAAGGTAGCTCTGTCAGAACAGATGCAACGGAGATGGAAAACTGGGAGAATGGAATGGAGTCTTTTCAGGAAGCAGAGTGTGTGAGGATGTATAATCAAGGTAACTGTGGGAGTTGGTGGCATTATAGTGGATATTGGTGGCCAGCCTATCCCTAAAAAATGAAAACAGATGTCAAGGAAGGAAAGGGAGGAGTTAGAGGTGGACCAGGTGAAAGTGAGACCAGGATGGAAATTGGAAGCAAAATTGATACATTTTTCCATTTCCGGGTGAGAGAGGGATGTAGCATCAAAGATATCATCGATGTGCAGAGAAAGAGTTGTGGGTGAGGACCAGAGTAGGATTGGAACAAGGAATGTTCCATGAACCCCACAAAGAGACAGGCATAGCTGGGGTCCATGCAGCACCCAAGGCCACACGTTTGATCTGAAGAAAGTGAGAGGAGTTGAAGGAGAAGTTGTTTAAATGAGGATCAGGAGTTTCGTTTAGGGTCACTTAAGATGCCCGTACTGAGATCAGACTGATCATGAAACAAGGTGGAACAGGGTCTATGATACAGAGATTGTGCCAGGGCTAGATATGTGGGTTCTTGTTTTAATAATGTTTAGCTGGAAAAATTGCAGACGACTGACTGTCCACTTTTGTGAATTGCAATAATAAACATTAAATTCCATTTACCATTCCAATTTCTGCATAATCCTTGGGAATCATTTTAACTTTTGGGAATGGATTAAAATGGCCAATATCAGATTAGTTGCCCATTATACGTCCAACCCAAAGTTCTCCATGGAAGTAAATGAAATGGAAAATCCAGCAAGATGTCTTAATGGGCTGCTGATCTTATGGTGCCCATTTATTCTGAAATTAGAGTTCTGCCATTGAGTCAGAGCTTTTTGCTTTTGACCTGTGAATTGATTCTTTTCATTCTGCAATAATAGCAACAAAATTGAACTTAAACTACTTTTGTTTTGTAGATACTGCTTTACAGAATTTACAGGAAAAAGGTCAAGGTCTTTTAGACCAGATGACATCCCAGGCTCCGTGGACATTTGGAAAGGATGTTTCCATTGAAAATAAAGACAATATAGAACATATTCAAGGACTAATGGAAGATATGCAACTTCGGAAACAAAGGTAAAAAATAAAACTTGTGGCAATGATAACTTGTGAAGTTGCAGTGAACTAGGAATGTCAGTATGATCCAAACAGTTTAAAATGAAAACCAACTGTATATGTGATGTTAAGATAACAAGTCAGAAATATAATCATTATCCTTTTGAATTGTTAATATTTTGTGTTGAAGATCACATGAGAAATACCTTTTCATGAAAGTTTAAAAGAATTGGATTTGTCATGTCTCAGCAACATAAAAGGTGCTTCACGTACAAAGTAACGTATTTATAAGAGTCCTGTTAATTTAGAAACAGCTTTCATTGCTTTTCATAGCTGTTTACATTCAAAATGAACATAAAGCGTACATCCCAGTTAATGATACTGCATGAATCAGATCCTAGAGTGAAAGTATCCCGAGCTTCATAGACTAAAAGTTTTATTGTTGCAATTTGTTTACTGTAGTGGTCAGTTTCTGAACATATGCACAAGAGGCTGCTAATGTACTTTTAAGAAAAGAGTATCAAAGTTTATTCCGCAAAAGCAAAAAAAACTACCCTGCATTATGCAAGAACCATTTGAAACGGTCTTAACACAAATGGCAGAAATAAAGATTCAACCCTTTTAGCCTCAAAACATCCTTAAAGATACTCTAACCTCAGTAATGCATTACCCCTGTTTGCAGTTTGAAGTTTCTTATTCAATGGCCAGAGCTGCACTTGGTCAGTTTCTAGCATACTTGTGTATTCACTCGATGCTATTTTTTTTCACTTAACAACCCTTCAGAAGACCCTTAAGCAAACTGCGAACACAACTCAACTTGCGTATTCACCACCCTTGTAGGAGGTCTTTCTGACAATGTTAAACCTTGTGTTTTTAGAGATTTCCTCTTACTAACTTCTAAGCCATTCAGAACTTCCTTCCTTCTGCCCTGATTGTTTTGGAGACTGTGCTGCTGATGTTAAAAGGCTTTTCCTCTCTGAATGGCCACCTTTTTCTGCACACTCACGAACCTTCTAGATAGGAACAATTTTCAGATAGTGAGAACTATCTCTGTTTTCCTTTGTCACAGGCACTTAGGGGTTGGCCATTTTTTTCCATCTTTTGTCCCTCTTTTCTAAAGCAAAAGCTACTCATCTCAAGAGTTTTTAAAGTCTCATTTAAATCCATGTAAATAAACTTCAAATAATCCATCACCACATTCAGATCTCAAGATCTAAACTGAAACTCAAAATATGTTTTCTCCCTTTTCGACATAATATAGAAGTACAAATCAAACTGGAAGGTATAAGTGATTCTATCAGCTTTAGAACCCAAGATTCCAAATTATGCAATTTTATCATGAACCTTCAAAGAAAGATATTTTGGAGGTGACCACATGTTGGACAAAAAGAGATCAGTTTTGTGAAAGATGTTTATGACTACATGATATCGGAACAGAATTAGGACATTTGGCCCATTTAAGTCTGCTCTGCCATTCGATTATGGCTGTTATATTTCTCAACCTCATTCTCCCATCTTCTTTCCACAAAAAATCCCCTTAGTAATCAAGAATCTATCTCTGTTAAATACACTCAATACACTTTGTCACAGAAGGCTGTGGAGGCAATGAGTTCCACAGATTCACCACCCTCTGGCTGAAGAAACTCTCCTTATCTTAGTTCTAAGAGTTATTCCTTCACTCTGAGGCTATGCATTCGAATCCTGATCTCTCCTATTGGTAGAAACAACTTCGTCAGATCCACTCCAACCAGGCCTCTCAGTATTCTGTAAACTTCAGTCAGATCCCCCTGCATCCTTCTAGACTCTACTGAGTACAGATCCAGAGTCCTCAATCAGTCCTAATATAACAAGCCCTTCATCTCCAGGATCATTCTGGTGAACCAACTCTGGACAGCCTCCAAGGTCTTTCTTAGATACAGGGCCCAAAACTGCTCACAATATTCCAAATGCAGTCTGACCAGAGCCTAAACAGCAGTACCAGAGCAGGTCTCTAGTAGTCTGCTGAGGTTGGGGGGGTGGTGCAGGTGGTGAGCCCAGTTGGCAGTCAGCGTCGAGATGGCTGGTGAGCCTGGATGGCGGTCAGCGTGTGGATCTCCCAGCACGGGAGAGAGATCAAGCCCTCATGGGGAAAGCCCAGCATGGAGTTACTGCAAGTTCCATGGCTAAAGGAGGACTGTAATTTTCAACTTAACTTTATTTACTATTTTATACTGAGGAGAACCGTAATGTTGTACTTTTAACTTATTTCTTTATTTTTCTACTTGTACCTAAGATTTTGTACCTAGGTACCTTGTACCTAAGATAGCGCTGAGATTGGTGACTTTGGACATTTTTCATTGTACTCCAGTATCCCTGCAGTTGTGTACACGTGACAATAACATCTAATTCCTAACTCCTAAACAAAAAAAAAGCAAAGAACTGCAGATGCTGGAATCAGAAACAAAATCAGAAATTGCTGGCAAAACTCAGCAGGTGGAGACAAAGCAGAGTTAACGTATCAGTTCTTCAACAATTTGATCTTGTTGCTGACCAGAGCCTTATACAGTCTTGGTAGTACAATCCTGCTCGTGTATTCTAGCCCTCTTGAAATGAATGCTAACATTGCATTTGTATTCCTAACTGCCAACTGAACTAAAATGTTAACCTTAAGAGGACCATGAATGAGATCTCCTAAGTCCCTTTGTGTTTCAGATTTCCAAAGCCTGTCTCCATTTGGAAAATAGTTGACACCTCTATTCTTCCTACGTCCATGCATAATCTCACACTTTCTCACATTGTATTTCATGTCACTTCTTTGCATACTGTCCTAGCCTGTTCATGTCCTTCTGCAGGCTCCCCACGTCCCCAACACTACCTGTTCCTCCACCTATCTTTGTGTCATCTGCAAACTTAACAACAGTGCTTTCAATTCCTTCATTCAGATTTTTGATGTATAACGTGAATGGTTGTGGTCCCAACATTGACCCCTGCGGAACACCACTAGTTGTCGGCTGCCATCCTGGAAAAGACCCCTTTATCCCTACTCTCTGCCACTCCCAGTCAACCAATCCTCTTCTCATAATTCATCTATCTTATTCTGAATGCTTTGTGTATTAAGATTCAAAGCCTTTAAGTTTGTTTTATAACTTTTAAGTTTGTTCTATAATCAAGTTTCCCTGCACTTTGGTTCCTTTGTACAATATGACATTTGCACAGTGTGAACCTTCCTTTTATTCTCTAGGAACAATCAATCCCATCACTAACCAGCAATCCTACCTTCTCTTTTACCCCTGATTTTATGACTTTCCAGGCAACTGAAACCATCCTTCCACTATTTAATTTAAATCCCCATCTACAGCCTTATTTTAGTGATTTTCTAGCACTCTGATCTGAGCATAATTCAGTTGGGGCCCATCCTGAATCAGATGGAGCCTGTAAAGTAGGTAATGAGACAGTGTTTTAAGGAGAGATTTCTACATATTGGAACTTGGGCAGCTGAAGGTACTGACACCAATTGGTGAAATGAATGGAGTGGGTGTTGCATAAATGAACAGAGATCTGGGTGATTTGTAGTGATGGAGGGAAATAAAAGTGGTGGGGAGGTGTACAGCCTTAAGGACTTAGAGTAAAGGATGTCTGTTTTAAATTTCATCCCTTTTGACTAAAAGTGTTCAATGAGTAACTGATAGAAGTCTACTGGTTCTTCACAGAAATTATCTTTTTTTCATGAAAATCATCATCCTACACATTCCTGAAGATACCACACCAGAGCTAACTTTCACACAAGCATGGTTTTTTCCATTGTGGTGAAAAGCCTGTTTTATCCTTCTTACTCGTTAACATGGAGATAATCTAACTTAGGCCAGAGAGCAAATCTATGCTATTAGCTTGAAGCAAAACTATTATTAAATTGGAAAGGGTGCAGAAAAGAATTACAAGGATGTTACTGGGACTGGAGGGTGGAGAGGCTGAATAGACTGGGACTTTTTTCTCTGGAGCATAGGAGGTTGAGGAGTGACCTTAGAGGTCTGTAAAATCATGAGCTGCACAGATAAGGTGAATTGCAAAGGTCTTTTCCCTGGAGTAGGGGAGTTCAAAACTAGAGGGAATAGTTTTAAGATGAGAGGGGGAAGATTTAAAAGGGACCTTGGAGGCAACTAATGAACTGCCAAACGAAGTGGTAGATGCAGGTACAATTTTAACATTTAAAAGACATTTGGACAGACACCTGATTTGGAAAGGTTTAGAGGGAAATGGGCCAGATGCAGGCAAAAGGGACTAGTTTAGTTTGGGGTAAACTAGTTTGCATGGACTAACTAGATGAAAGGATCTGTTTTCATGTTCTATGACTCTATAATATTTTTCCAATCAAAATACTGATTTCCTGTTAGGCCGTGTCACCTAAGTGAACATTGTAGTTGAATAGAATTTTGTAGTCCTTTTCCATATTTATCATTGCTGTCCAGGATGATGCTGGAGTAGTGGGCAGTCTTGGCAGAGGTCATTAAAGTTTGATGGCACTTAATTGGTTCAGGCAGATCTGGTCACAGATGGTTAATTATATGTGTACCAGATGCACTTGCAACTATGTCATTACAATCGTCCTGAAAGGAAAAAGGCATTTTGTCTTTGGCTCATTGGTACTTCTTGGGATTTGTCCCAATACAAATGGAATTGAACATTTATACTGTATGAGAAGAGGGTGCGAATTGGATGGCAAGTATACTGACTATTAGAGATGTTGTCGTGGAGAATGCACCAGATAAAAAAAATGGCTGAATGTTAAATGTCAAGATCTCTTTACATTCTAAACCAGAAAGGTTGACTGTTCATCGTTAAGTCTTCACCTGAGAAATGAACCAGAGAATGATTGTCAGTTTTTTTAAAATTAAAACAGGTGCAGTGTGTGTACATGTTCATTCCATTTACAAAGAGCAAAGCTCTGCATATTAATACATGTAGCTTTCACATAGACAAGTGTGCCACACCATAAGTAATGATCCTAAGGTAGTTGACACCAAAGTTCTTAACACACACAGGAT